TAATGCAGCAGTACAAAGGGAATTCACCAACGCAGAAGAATAAAAACCTTCAGGTGACAGATTCTGCGTCAGTAGAGTCAACGAAGAGCTAAAATTATGCTACTGCTTCTTAAAAGAATTTATGCAGGCATTTAATTCTGTGGACCAGGAAGTGTTTAAGTCATGTGTAAATAAAAGGGCTAAGACTCTAAAATTTGACCATGAATTATATTTGTCACTTGCAGTCACCTAATTAAGAACTATACCACTTCATCCTCACTCCCAATGCAATAGCTTAATTATTGTATTCAGTGTAATCAAAACCCACACATTTTTAAAGGGTTGTTCAAATGCAGCTTAGGTGCAGCACCTGTATGATATTGCTAAGCAAGGGTCCCATTGTGGCATGGCTTCACGTTCATAGGAGTAAACCAAATTTCACCGGTACGGAGCTACACGTTCCCATTTCGTTGCTTAAAAGCACTGAGACAGTTGAGGCTGTGGAATCCGCATGTTCCGGCAGAGCAAAAGAGAACATAAGCTCCGTCTTTACAGCTGCAAGCTCATGCTGAAATTAAAAGGAAACAAATCTTCTGCCATAAGGACCCTTTCCCCCCCAGGTCCTTCTAAACCTTCCTCTGCTTCTCTGCACCTTGTTTGCTACATGCACATTCAATTTTCTGTTGAAACGGCTAAAATGGAAGAAAAGCTTAACTCTCACATTAGCCTTAATAGAAGGTCACAGATGAAAGCAGTGCTGCCACGAAGAGGAAGCAGGCACAAATAAGGCTTTCTAAACTGGTTCTCAAAATCACATCTCTTTTTTTCAAGCCAATGTATACCCTGCAGCTGTGCTCACCAGAGAGTAACTGATGCTTTTAACTTTCTGCATAATAGAAAAGCTTTTGAGGAGCATAATATTACAGTGCTTAGTTTTTCTAAATCAAATCCCTACAATCACAAACAAGAGAGGGGAAAAATAGATACTAAAAGGTACAAGTGGAGATTGTTCGTAAAGCTTTACGGAAGATGGTGGGCAGATGGTAGGGATTTGCAGTGACACAGCTGTTTTTAAAAATAAAGAGGTGGAAGAGGAGAAGGCATGATTACAGCTACACGTTCCTAAGCCTATTCACACAAGAATAAAAATTAAGCTAACAGTGGGAAATGGAAGTTGGTATATTTTTTTTAATCATCTGAATCGACATTTAGAAACTCTTTAAAATAATCAGCAGCACCTTCAAGTTTCTTTTCCACTCATTAGTTTCCTAAGTAACTACGAAGTAAAGCTGATAACAGAAATATTAACCCACAATGAGATACTAAAAAGTCAATGTCAAACAGCACACATTATTGCTGTGAGCCTTACAATATAAAAAGACAATTCTACCATATCATCAAAAAAACAACATAAATTATGTTACCTGCTTGAATTTCCTATGAAAGGCTTTTAATTTTTCACTTTTGTATTTTTTTCAGGTATTATTAGTAGATGGCAGAGATAAGCAATGCAAGGAATAGTAAGGTGTATGGGGGTTATGTAGATTTAACAGCATGGGGGGTGAGGCAGGGAAATGCCCAAATTCAATAGGGTATCAAGTACTGGATATGAATACAGTAAGAATAGAACATTTTTTAACTGGAGCAGTAATTTGTATAAAAATACTGAATGTCATAAAGAGAGCTTTCACTCATTTTTAATGCATATTCTCATATGTGTCCCCTACAGCCACACTGAAAGCTTATGTTAGGGAAACAGTGAAAAGATTATCAATCTACAGTGTAAAAGCTCATTTTCTCCAGAGAATCCATTAAAGCTGTTTCTTGACGGCTTTGTTTACAAAATTAACTCTCTTTCAGCTAAGCTGTTCCTAGATCCAAAAAATTTTACATTTACAGGAGACATACCACTGATACCACAAGGATAATCTTTTCATCATTCTTCATGGAGTCACCTTTTTCACACCACATCTGCTCACTTTCTTCCAAGTATTAAAAATGACTTGTCAGCATAAGTATACTTTTTCCTTTTTTAAAAAAAAAAAAAATAATCTAATTTGCTGAACATATGAGCTAGGATCCAACACAAGAAAAAAAGGTTATCCAGCACCAACCCACTAAAAACTTCTTTATACCAATCTCCAGAGCCACAGAGCTGCAGCTGGGTATTGAACTGAAAGGGCTATAGGTGAAACCCATTACAAAAATACACATATTCCACTCATTTACTCCACGATCTGTCCTTTCACAGCATCTGGGCTGCTCCCAACCACAGACAACAGCAAAGTGATTAGCGTAGGTGTTGCCCAGCATACAAACATACTCCACATCTGAAGACATTTAAATTAATTTTATTTATACCAGGTTTTCAAAATCAGAAATATTTTCAAAGAAATTCAATACTTATAGACAGGTGCTACATTAATGATCTTTCATCAACTGTTAGTGCCGTGTTTCACTCTACAATTGTTAACTCACCACCACAAACTAAGGGGAACTTACAGAAGTTTATAAAAAATAGGCAGACACAAAAATTTGGTTTATACTGGAATTGGCATAAGAGAGTAAAGCTTATTATCAAATTGTGGCAATTGCTGTATTCCATCACTCGTTCTGAGGGAATGGTACAGCAGAAAAAGACTCTTCCACTGAGAGAAACACTTTGGGTTTTAACTGAACATACTCAAAATCCATTTAATGACGTGACTAGGAGTGATTCTTACACTCAAGTCTGTATACGGTTTAAGCTTCGCATTTCTAAAATCGCCACAAGCGTAAAGCTCACCTACTCACACTAGTCTTGGACCGATTTCCCTTTTCAGAGAAATCAAACCTGTATGGCTATACCCCTTCCAGGATTTACCAAATCAAACACAACAACTGCTGGTTTTGAAGTCTTTTTTTTTTTTTTAAAGAAGAAAAATGCCATTTCTGCACAAGCTACTCTCATGAAAATTTTATTTAACATTTCTTGATCAATAAAATAACTGAAGCCAAGATACCCAAAAGTCACATCTACACGGACACACAGAAGATATTCAAGTTGAGAGGATTTTCCTCCACTTCTCGACCACAATGAGGCCCTCACCATTTTGCATAATGACAGAAAACAACAGCTGACAAACCATTTTGGAACAGATGCCAGCTGTCTCTCATTTGTTTTATAATTCAAACAGTAACAGTTCTGTAGCACTTTATTGTGGGGGGGGGGGTTGTTGGGTTGTTGGTTTTTTTTAAAGCAAGCCATCTGAATTGGACCTCGCATCAGTCAGTCATTTCAAGAACAAACCGAAGGCAGGCTGATCCTTTTGGATCCAAAACTTGTTTTGGAAGGAATCTCACATAAATACAGTTTGTGCTTCAATTTTATATCTACTTGGACTGAGTGAATATACACCTAAGCTAGTTAAAAAAAAAAAAAAAAACAAAAAAAAAACAAAAAACAAACAACTAACCTTTAATATTCAACTTAGAAGCCACAGACATCTTTCCAGACTGTATGCAGCAGAGACAAACAATAAATTTAAACACAGTACTGCTTAAAAAAAGTTTACTGTCTAAAATGAAATTCAAATTGTTTATTAAAATTTAACATTTTCAGTTTGGGCTTTTTCTAAAGAAACCATTTATACCTTGTGAAAATCAGTTAAAAGATCATTTCATTATACTGTACTAAACTCAAGTCAAACACAAAGCACAAAGTATATCTTTACATTAATCTGGGCTTTGCACAAAATGTGAATAATCAGAAATCAAGAGACTATTTTGAGGAATTTTTTTTTTTTTTTTAATCTAGACAACATGCATACCATCAGTTACTTCTCAACCTTAAAAGGTACCTGAAAGGAGAGTTTTGTAGAACAAAACCAAGACTCATTAATACACTTAGTAAGTCAGTGGTCATCATGCCTTTTTAGTTAAACTCTAATAAAGTTTAGTCTACATAGAACAGCTAACACAATGAGGTGTGCAAGTCATAAGGATAGCCAGAAGCCTGAAACAAAGTCTTAAAGTTCTACAGGACGAGAGAGCCTGAACACAGTACCACTAGGTTATTTGAACTATTTAAAAAAAAAAAAAAATTAAAAAAAAATTTGATTCTTATCTGCTTCCCTGTTGAAAAAGGGCTATGGACTGAACATAAAGGGCCCGTATTTAAAAGCTCCACAGTTCTACTCTACCAACTTTTTAAAACAAGGTAATGATAAAGAGCATTCCTTCTAGCAGCATGTACAGTTCAGCTGCGAGTGGCTGCCTAACAGCCCTCGCTCCTTTACGCATACCAGGAGAATCATGTCCAGTTTTGCCATTTGTGGATAACGATGACAAGATACAAAAGCATGTGTTTGCCATAAATAGCTCTGGCTAACGGAGGATTGCTCACACAGAGCAGATCAAATTCTCTATAAGGAGAGCATTATTTGGCTCCCAGCCAAAACATGTCCCCAGTGCAAGCCTCGGTAGCGGCAAAACACTTTCCAGTTCTATTTACATAGAAGCTAACAAGTAGAACAGTTCATTTAGGCTATTTCTTGTACCGAGTCCATCTTAACCGCAACACTTGAGAAACAAAAATTATATTCATATTTGCATATCATGTAACTGTCATTACGCATCATCTTACCCAAAAAGGCGGCAAGCTGTAAGATTTCGTGCAAGGTTTTACTCTGACGTGTAGAACTTTAAGAACATTCAGGTACAAAACACGCTGCGTGGTTTATTACTTCGTAATTTTACGTTTCTGACACAAGTGTTTCATGGAACTAATGGTCTCTAGCAGTGGTAGCTTCTTTACTTTAACAGTAAACTAGGATCAGGTCCTTTATCAAATGATCAGAACAGAGCCACAAAGTATTGTAAAGCAGTGCCTAAATCATAATTAGGAATGAAAAACTTGCATTATTTAAGATGAGATTAATGATTGTTTATCTTTACAATACTTTCCACAGAAGTTATTTGAAATATGCTTAAATTAAACATACTTAAAAACTGTATTTTCCAATGAAAACAAGGCAACATTCTGTAATAAGCCACAAGTTTTATTGCAACGTGGCCAGTTTTTGATCTCAAAAAACAACGTTCCATTTAAGGCTCTTTTTAATACAGAAATTGCCACCATGACTGATGTTTTACAAAACTTTAGTGTTTCAAGACTCACATGGTAAACAGATAACTTCTACTCCTGTTCAGTAGTGTACATTCAATGGAAAACAAAAGGCATCATAACAGCTACTTCATTTATAAAGATATGCATGTAACAGGAATGAAACTGAGGTACTACAATAATTTGATGACACAGTTACAGCAACTTAATTGGCATTCCTTTGGGGGGGGCGGGGGGGTCAAACATATTACAAAAAAGTGCTTTAAATGCATAGTGTTGTGTGCTGCCATGTCACAAAAATAGGCTTGTCAAGGCAGGTGAGGTGTATGAATGCACAAGAGCCTCATGGAACTGCAATCAAGTGCAACTGTAAGTAATACTGTATAGAGTCTACCATCCGACCAGTGGACAATACTTTCAAGGCATTCAATTAGCTTACCCTTTGCTGTCTGCTAGACTATTCACATTAACTATCACATTCATTGTACATGTTGCAAGGAATGCCTGCAACGTCAGTTTTGGCTAAGAGTATGACGTGAAAGCATTCCTTGGATCCTACATAAAACTACCAGGATTAAACAGTCTAATGGCAATCGCTGGTAGACTGCTTAACAATGACATCTCCTTCAGGGGCATTAGGGAAGGGACTTATTTTTTGAGGAGGGAAGGGGACAGGGAGACTAATGCTATTCCAATTGAATGAGCTGCAGAAATGGAAGCTCCTTAGATCCAGATGGCACTTGTCTGTCTTTTTATAAGGGTTTTCCTTCAAGTGAAACTACCACGTTGCCTCCCAATTTCTCTCCAAGTGTTGAACGGTCCTTAATATCATCCAAACCATTTACTTGCCACTCATGTTTAATACCTGAAAGACAGACGGACAACAATGTACTTGTGAGAACCTCAACATCTACACGGCATTATCATTAACAAGCGAAACATTTTTAGGTCTGTACCTGTAAATTTCTTTTTAATGGCATCTTTAGAGCTTGCGTAGATCATCTTGCTTTTTAAAGGTGCACTTTCAGGAGCCCTTTAAAGGAAAGGAGAAAACCACGACAAAACAGTTACTCAGTCATCCAGTGTTAACTCCAAAAATATTCAATTTTAACACCAAGCCATGCTTTTACACACCAGAATATAAATACCAGGTCTTCTTTCTTAGATTCCTTTGTCTCATATGTGGCATCATACAAAGCGTATCGGCAATCATTCAAAGGTAGCAACTTCACAAAGGCTGTATAGGGGTCCTCCACAGTATCTCCAATGTCACCAACCAATATCTGCTTTGACTCCTCTACAATTATTTGTTTTTTGTCATCGCTTAAGCAGAAGAGAACGGCTTTCTTTCTTTTTTTAATCTCTTCTGGGGTTGAAGATTTCCTTACTTTCATGTCATTAAAAACCTTTATGACTTCATCATTCACTGTTACTCCAGAAGCCTGTGAAATGAGATCAAAGGAATAATTTAAACAGCAAAAATTAACACTCACTAGAAAAGATGACAGCCCACAGTGCTAGATAAAGTCTGCCTGCCCCCTCCCCCACAAATAAAGATACTATACTCAACCTGAACACACTATGAATTTAGTAATCTTTGCAGGATTGGAGCAGAAGATTTAAAGGAGGTGTAAAATCCATATTCTCTTGTTGCAGATCTCAGCATCTTCAGCTGTGATTCTGGATAGCAGTTTTATACAACCAGGCATACAACTCCAGCAGTTTTATACAACTAGGCAACAACTCAAGCCATTTTCCATTACCTTATCTTGCATTTGGCTTATATGGGGGGAGGAGGAGAGCAGGGGGGTGGGAACTGAACATAGGAGAAGAGTCTGTAGTTTTGGTTTGGGATGGGGAGGTGGGGTTTTTGTTCTTTTTTTTTTTTTTAGTGGAACAAACGCTACAGCAGCAGTTCACATCCAGCACTGTCATGACTCTCATTTTGTTGGGTGATGTAAGGCTCTACAAGCAGCAGAAATGTTTTCTGCATTGTGTCAGCTTCAATACCGCGCTTTAAAAACTCCTGAATTTTACTTCGCACTGCTGCACGAGTATTATCCGACTGCTCTTCCTTCATACAAAAATACCAGCTACAATGCATACAGCTCACCATACG